AAACACATATACACAATACATGAACAAACACACACACACACACACATACACACACACATCTGTGAAGACTCCACAATTAGTCATCTTCCCTGCATTATTCTTCAAACATAGATATCTGTCCTGAACATTACATGTTTCAAAGAAAAATAATTGACTCTTTAGATTGAACAAAGTTGAGTTCTGACCTATGCTGACATAGAGCTCTGAGTTCTGGGCTCACCAGCATCAAAGCCCTTCTGGACCAAGTGCTCCCTCACTAGTCCAGTGACTTTCACTGCTTGCAGGGAAATAATTTCCCTTAAACTTCAAGTTGAACATCTTTTTCTCAACATGAGCTCCGCTCACCCACTGGCCCTGCCTCTGTGTCCCACCCAGCCTGGCTCACAATGGACGTTCTTACTCTAGTCACTCTGTTCCCACAGACAGAAGTCACTTCTGAAGATGCACAAGGAAGTCCATTGAATGTGCTCTGAGCAGGAAACCTCAGTTCTGGTTGGCCAATGCCAGCAGGAGCTTCTGGTTTTCCTTACAAGAGTCCCAGATCCTTCATCCGACGATGGATGGCGATACAGACGGAGACCCACATTGGAGCACCGGACTGAGCCCCCCATGGTCCAAATGAGGGGCAGAAGGAGGAAGAACATGAAAAAAAACTCAGGACCGCGAGGGGTGCGATCACCCACTGATACAAGGGGACTGATCTAATGAGAGTTCACCAAGGCCAGTTGGACTGGGATTGAACGAGCATGTGATCCAACCAGATTTTCTGAATGTGGTTGGCCCGGAGCCTTTCTGAAAAGCCATTGACAATGACACTGGGGCTTGCTTCCTCTGCATATACTGGATTTTTGGGATCCAGTCTGTTCGGATACTCACCTTCTGGGACCTGGAAGGAGGGGGGAGGAACTTGAACTTCCCACAGGGCTGGAATCCCTGACTGTTCTTAGGGATGGAGAGGGAGGAGGAGGGGGAGGGGGGGAGTGGGAGGGTGTTGAGAGGAGGGGCGGAAATGGAAACTTTCATAATGTAATAAACTTTGAAAAATTAAAAGATAACAGCAAGAAACCAACTACAAAATCCTTCCCACCAAGGTTTGACTTAAATTTACATGTAAATCTAAAGTTACTTTTATATGTGTCTTTTATTGAGCTGCCTTAGGAGGTTCCCTGCTAAATGGTTCCTTTATAAACTGATCCTGATGCTGTAAAGTAGTCATGACATCTCCCAAAAGGGCAATGTTTCAACTGGGAATCCCTGGCCAGATGCCCCGGAATGAAGAGCAGAGTGACTAAGTGACTTCAGGACATCTGTTAAGTGGCAAGAAATGAAAAGGTGTTCATTCTCAGTGTGCTTAATAAATCCCAAATGGTGACTGAAAAGATTCTCTATAGTCAACAAAGGAGCTACAAAGCCTGAGGAAGCTCACTTTTGACAGCAGTTACTCCTATGGAGAAAGCATGTTCCCTGGGGGTTGACAAGGGACTGCTGTCATTAGTGCCGGCACTCTGGAAAGAATCACAGTGGGTAGAAGTGACAGGAACACAGTGGGTAGAAGCGACATTGCCACAGGACTCAAGTAGTACCTGCAGACCCAAGAACGACAGCATGCATAGAAATTGCAGAGATAACTGGACATGTGGGAAGGAGAAGAAGCTGCATTATAAAATATATGATAATCAAAGAATATGCTTAGGCCTCATTTTGAGTGTTGATCAAATGGTTCAGAATGCCCTGGAATGTGAAAACAACATCCCAACTCTAGTGTGGGTCTGCGTAACCAAGGAAACCGATTATCAAAGCACCAGGGTAAGAATATAATGTTTGGCAATCAATAAACAGAAGAAGTTTGATCTGCAGAAGAAAAGGCAGATAAATTGGAGCATCCAGGAGAATGGGGATTCTCAGAAAGTGGAGATTAGAAAAATGAGTTGGAGAACTTAGTGATTAGGTGCAGGAAGGCTAACTGAAATCTTAAGACTCAAAGAACTTGGAAGGAATTGCAATTTTAATATGAAAATATTTTTTAAAAATTAGCTGTGCAGGAGAAAAAAATAAATATAGAGGTGATTGCATCCCTGAAAAAAACAGTCAATATTTGGATATTTTTATTAATAATTTACATGAAGGAAAAATACAATATTTTATATTTCTAATTGGTGTGGTAAAGAACCAACTTGGAAAGCAACCAGACAGATTGCATAAGTGGTCATTTAGAAAAATAAAGGAGTCTAATTGAATTAGAATTTTGGACCAAGAATAATAGCAAAAGTTGTCCCTAATCCAATGGTTCTTGTGTTTGAAATTGGGAAGAATAAGCCAGCAGAAGTAAAACAGCAGTAGAAATTGCCCATAAGAATAATTCCACTTTATTTGACGCAGGCAGGGATTTAATTAGAATGCATTTGCGATAGTCTCAGAAAGCAGGCTGAGAAAGCCATAGAGACAAGCCAGTAAGCAGTACCCCTGTATGACTCCTGCATTGGCGCCTGCCTCCAGGTTTCTGCCCCATTTGAGTTCCTGCCTTGACTTCCCTTGATGATTGCCTGGAATTGTAAGCTGAAATTAATCCCCCATACAAAAAAAGAAGAGAGGGAAAGAAAGAGAGAGTGGGGTGAAGGAGGAAGGGAGTAAAAGAGAGAGAGTGAGAGAGAGGGAAAAGGAAGAAAGAAAGAAAGAAAGAAAGAAAGAAAGAAAGAAAGAAAGAAAG